TTCTCTTGCTTCCACCTGCTGTGAGTGAAATTAACTAGAATTGTGTCATTCTGATCAATTTCATTAAGGCGCAGACTTTGTACATAGACATCATGGCTGTCCCTTGCACCTGGGCTGTCAGCTTCCATCCCAGAGGAAAAGGGATTCTGCAGGAGACCAGGAGCATATAGCCAGAAGAAAGTAAGAATGCTGTGGCTGCTCCATAGGGAAGCAGATATGTAAAAACATTTAAAAAATAAATGAAAGGAAAGTCAAAGTCCATATCCAGAAGCAGAAGAGGTTCAGCTATAGGAAAGCAGTGGTTCCAAAATTCTTTCTGGATTTCAGAAGGGCTGTGTAGATAATTGTCTTATTCCATCATTTCAAAACTTGAAGAAATTGAACATCCACCTTTAGTGATTTGTAGGTATCCTGCCATCCTGAATCCTTTCTGTATTCACTTATATTTTCTCTTTGGAGCACTGCCCCTGTCCACTTTTTCTGTATTTCTGATTATACATAAATGTATAGATCTAGCAGATGTGAAGATCTAGAATTCTCCTTTAGAATTTTTTCCCATTCCTATTGTTGTGGCTCTATCTGAAGGATTTATGGTGATTTGGTGTTCTGAAAACGGCAGTGTATGATTAGAAAAAGAGGCTAGACAGGCTCTTGACTTCTACTTCTGGCCTTAATTTACCTTGTTTTGGTGCTCCTCTCTAGCACCACCCCCAGCGTATAGGAAGGGGAATAGACTGTGTTTTGAGAATTTAAATATTTCTGATAGGGAAGAATTTATGAATATCCAGGTTTGGAGGGGTATCTGTGTTTCATTTATTTTCTTCTTGCTCCCTCCCCTCTCATCTCCTCTCATTTCCTCCCTTCTACTGTAATACCATTCCAAGTTCTGATTTACTGGATAGGTTTAATTTTAATAGCAGTACTTCTGGATGTGTTGTTGACTATTTTTAGTTATGACTTTTAAGGACATTCAGATCATCAGCCGTATAATTTTCTTCCAACAAATACTTATTGAAGACATACTATACATGCAAACTGTTTCTCAACATTATTATTGCACTAGTAAAAACAAAGTCTTATTAAGCATGTACTTTTAAGAAATTGTTAATCACTAATTTTGGGGAGATTACACTCTGATTCATTGTGAAAAAGCCTATTTTGATTTATAATAAAAGATTATACACAATATCACTGGTGAGCTGATTGAACTTGCAGTTGTAATTGAATATTTGAAACTGTGGCTTAAACATGGTCAGTGGATCTACGTACAGATGTGCATAGGAGTAGTTCCAAGTTTCTGAGCTACTTTTAATAATAGACTCAGTCCCATGGAATAGTAACTTTATCTAGTTTTCCTGATTATTTATAGTAAATTTATAAAACTGTGAAAAGTAAAAGCAGAAATTGTACCACTCAGCAGAGGAAATCACTGTTAAAATTATGGTTTCTTTTATTCCCATCTTTCTTTAGTTTTCCTTGACTTCCCCCATTTTAATCCTCTTCCCCATTTCTTTAACATCAATTGGCTTTGCTAAAAACCTTCATACCCCACACCTTTGTGTCCCCATAATTAAATATGACTTTCAAGGAAGGCACTAAACTGCAGGTTGCTAACTGTCACAGGCCAAACGAGACCCACAGGGTCCTGCAAAGAGTTTCATTTTTAAAATAAATACTTTCAATAATTTCAAAAAGTAAAAAAAAAAATACATTTTAAAAGTCTAGATTTCTGGCTTCTCTATAAAAGGAAAACATGGCAACTTTGGGTCCATATTCCCATCTAGTAACAAATGTTTTTCCTGAATAATGAATACTCCCTCTTTGCTGGATAAGTTCTTTTCAGTTTTGCATAGTTCCCACCACTCCCTGTTACTGCTTAACAGTGAGGTCCAGTTGCCATTAATTATCAGGATTGTACAGCCTTCTGTCACCTAGTCCTCTTCACTCACTTGCATAATTTCCTTCAATCCTGCTGATATTTGAGTTTGTGACTTTTACCTTAAATTTGTTTACACCAAACTAACAATAATTTCATAAAACTAAAACCACACCACTCTTCTTGCATATATGAATTTTGTGAGAAGAGATGTGACTAATCCAAATGAATGATTCTGGGGGGGAAATTAATTGAAGAAAATGAGAGAGAAGAAAGGAGCATTTGAAGGGCCATTCTGGCGCACGCACACACACACACACACGCACACACAGTGAAACACTAACCTTATCTAGTGCTCTTAAAGCTCAAATACCACCTCTAAGAATTTTGGGAGTGTTAAGTAATTGGAGAAATCATAGCTAGAGGCAGCCATGTGCATAATTCAGTTCCCTAACAACAGTGGTGTGTGTGTCCATTTGAAAAGTGACTCAGGCCCACAATCATGGGAACATGGCAAGGTTGCCCCACTGCTTTCACTGACTCATAGTTACACTGTCTTTGTGACTATGCTATTGGGAAACATCACTGTTTTCAGAAGTGAAACTAAACACTAAGTGAGCTTCTGTTGGCTGATAACTCAAAAGGAGACCATGAGAGGAAACTGTTTGAGATGAATATCGCAACAGCTTAAATGAAACTAAATAAAATTCAGAGAGAAGATAGCAGATGGACTTAAGAAAGGGCTCATGCAAAATATCTGCAATAGGCAAACAGGGTATTCATTTTTGTCAAGGATCATACTGAGCTGTCAGGGCAGGGGGAAAGTGCTTAACCATATGCTACACATTTTATATATTTCCAACTAATTATTCCGTGGCTTATAGATTCAGATACTAAAGTTATTTATGGAGGCTGTGTGATGGAAGTTCATTAAGAACATTGCTGGCTTTCATTGCCCTATTTTAATCAAGTAGTCCCTTTACGTCAACTTACAAATCATTGTGTACTTTCCTACATCTGAGAACTATCAACAGTTTAGATTTGTGTTACTATTAAGTTATGGTAATAATTTGTTCCAAATCAGGAAATTCAGTGCTGCCTTTGAGTTAATAAGATAAGTGTAACTTTTTCAGTTTCTTATATGCTGATGGTACAACCTTTTTTCATGAGTAATTTGTGTGCTCATCAAATATGAAAATGTGCCTAATTATTTTATCCTTATGTTCTATATTTTTAACATTTATTTTATACATTAAAAGTTTATTGATCTTGGGGCCGGCCCAGTGGTGCACTGGATAGTGCGCCGCTTAGGAGGCGCGGCAGCGCTGCCGCCCGAGGGTTCGGATCCCACATACAGACCGGCTCCCGCTCACTGGCTGAGCGAGGCGTGGGAGCAACACCGAGGTTTGCAATCCCGTTGCCGGTCCCTGGTCCG